CAATGCACAAAAAAAGATAGCAGGAGAGGAAGAAAGGACTATGCAACTGCCAGAAAACAGTAACATAGCAACAGTAAGACTGTACCTATCAATTCTTACTTCAAATTTAACAGACTAAAATCTCTAATCAAAAAACATAGAGTGGTTGAATGAGTACAAAAATAAGACCTAACTATATGCTGCCTACAAGAGAATAACTTCAGATTTAAGGATACACAGACTGTAAATGAAGGGATGGAGAAGATATTTCATGCCAGTGGAAACCAGAAGAAAGCAGGAATAAGTATGCTTATATCAGAAAAAATAGACTGTAAGTTAACAACTGTAATAAGAGACAAAGAATGTCATATGATGACAATGAGGTCAATTCATCAAGAGTATATAACACTTGCAAATATGCACCCAACATAGGAGCAGCTAAACTTATAAAGCAGATATGAACAGATCTGAAGAAAGAAATACACATAAATACAATATTAGGGGACTTTAATACCCCACTTTCAATAATGTATAGGTCAGCCAGAGAGAAAATCAATAAAGAAATGCTGGACTTAAATGATGCTTTAGACCATATGGACCTAAAAGACATATACAGAACATTCTACCCAACAACAGCAGAAAATACATTATTCTCAAACACATATAGGATATTCTCCAAGAAAAATCATATATTAGGCCATAAAACCAGTCTCAGCAAATTTTAAATGACTGAAATCATTCCAAGTAACTTTTCTGACTACAATGGCACAAAACTAGAAATCAATGACAAAAAGAAAACTGGAATACTCATAAATATGTGGTAATTTAACAACATGCTCCTGTACAACCAAGGCATCAAGAAATGAAAAGAGAAATTTAAAAATCTTGACACAAATGAAATAGAAACACAACATGCTAACACTTATGGGATGCAGCAAACAACATAAAAAAATCAATGCAACTAAGAGCTGGTTTTAGGAAAAGATACATAAAACTGATAAACCTTTAACTAGACCAAGAAAAAAAGAGAAAAGCCTCAATTAATAAAATCAGATTTGAAAGAGAAGACTTATTACAGAAATCCAAAGGATCAAAAGAAACTACTATGAATGATTATACATCAATTAGTTGGATAACATAGAAGAAATGTATGAATTCCTAGAAACACAAACTCTACAAGATGGAATTCTGAAAAAATAGAAAATATGAACAGACCAATAACTAGTAAGGAGACTGAATCAGTAATTAAAAACCTCTTAAAACAGAGAAGTCCAGAATCAGATGGCTTCACTGGTGAATTCTACCAAATATTAAAGTACTAATATCCATCCTTTTCAAAACTGAATAGGTGGTAACATGTCTGAACTCACTTTAGGAGGCCAGTAAATCCCAGTTACCAAAGCCAATAAAGGACACTACAGGGAAAGTAACTGTACTCCAATATCCCTGGTGAACACCAGCAAAACACTCAATAAAGGACACTACAGGGAAAGTAACTGTACTCCAATATCCCTGGTGAACACCAGCAAAAACTCTCAACAAAAATATTAGCAAACTGAATTCAACATTACTTCAAAAGGACCATACACTGTGATCAAGATTTACTGCAGGGATGTAAGAACAGTTCAACATACACAAATCAACCAATGTGAAACAATACATTAACACAATGAAGGATAAAAGTCATATGATCATCTCAACAGATACAGACAAAGCAACTGACAAAATTCAACATCTTTCATGATTAAAAAATTTCAACAAATTCAGAATAGAAGGAACATGCTTCGACATAGTAAAATGCCATATATGACAAGCCCAGAGCTAACACCTTACCTAAGATCAAGAACAGGACAAGGATGCCTGCTTTTGCTATCTTTATTCAAGATAGTATTTTAAGTATGATCTAGAGCATTTAAGCAAGGAAAAGAAATAAAAGGTATACAAATTGGAAAGGAAGAAGTAAAACGGTCTCTAATTGCAGATGACACAATATATATGGAAAACCCTAAAAATTCCACCACAAAACTATTAGAGTTAATAAACAAATTCAGTAAAGTTGCAGAAGGCAAAATCAACATAAACAATCAGTTTTTATGTATCAACAATGAACTATCTGAAGAAGAAATAAAACAATCCCATTTACAATGGTATCATAAACAATAAAACATTTAGAGATAAATGTATCCAAGGAAATGAAAAGTCTATACACCAAAAACTACAAGATACTGATGAAAGAAATTGAAGAAACAAGTAAGAACAAATATGCCATGTTCACTGATGAGAGGAGTTAATGGTAATAAAACATTCAAATTACCCAAAGCAATCTATAGATTCAATCCAATCCTTATTAAAAGGTATTTTTTTATATAGATAGAAAAAAAATTCTAAAACTCATATGATACCACAAAGACCCCAAACACATGAACGGATCCTGAGAAAGAACAATAGTGCTGGAGTCATTACACTTCTTGATTTCAAATATACTACAAGTAATCAATGCACTATGGTACTGGCATTAGAAACAGACACTCAGATCAATGGAAAGAAGAAAGGGCCCAAAATAAACTCATGCACATATGGTGAATTAGTTTTCAACAAAGGATCCAGGAATATACAATGGAGGAATAGTCTCTTCAATAAATGATGTTGGTACAAAAAAGAAAAAAAGTGAACTCCAATCTTACATCACACACAAAAATCAATTTAAAACATTAAAAATGTAAATATAAGATTTGAAACAATAAAACTCTTAAAAGAAAACATAGGGGGTAATCTCCTTGACATTAGCCTTGGCAATGTTTTTTTGGATCTGACACCAAAAGTAAAGGCAACAAAAGTAAGCAAACAAACAAAGTGGGAGTACATCAAGCTTAAAAACTTCTGGACAGCAAAGGTGAGTAAAATGAAAAGGGTTTAACCTATGGAATAGGAGAAAATATTTGCAAACCGTATGTCCTATAAGAGGTTAATATCTAAAATATATAAAGAACTCATACAATTCAACAGCAAAACAAAAAACAAACAACAGCAAAAAAACAAAAAGGCAAAACCCCAAATAAACCAATTAAAAATGGTCAAAAGGCCCAATTAGAAGTTTTTTCAGAGAAGACATAAATGGCCAACATGTACATGAAAAGGTGATCAATATCAGTAATCATCAGGAAAATGCAAATCAAAACCATAATGAGGTATTACCTCATGTATTATCAAAAAGAAAATAGATAAATGCTGGTGAGGATGTGGAGAAGAGGGAAACTTTGAGCAATGTTGCTGGAAAGGTAATATGTATAGCCACCATGGAAAACAGGAGGATATTCCTCAAGAAACTGAAACTACATGTTTTATGCTGTATGATCCAGCAATCTTACTTCCGGGTATATAGCTAAATGAAACAAAATTACTATCTTGAAGAGATATCTGTACTTCAATGTTTATTGCAGAATTATTTACAATTGTCAAGGTACAGAAACAAACTAAATGTCCATCAACAGGGGTGCCTGGGTGGCTCAGTCATTAAGTATCTGCCTTTGGCTCAGGTCATGATCCCGGGGTCTTGGGATAAACCCCTGCATCAGGCTCCCTGCTCAGCAGGGGGGTCTGCTTCTCCTTCTCCCACTCCTCCTGCTTATGTTCCCTCTCTTATTGTATCTCTCTCTGTCAAATAAATAAATAAAATCTTTAAAAAAATGTCCATCAACAGATAAGTCGATAAAAAAATGTGGTGTATGTATGTGTATGTATGTGTATATATATATATATATGTGTGTATATATATATATACACATACATACACATACATACACCACATTTTTGTTGAATTGAATAGAATATTATTCAATTCAATTCAATTCAATCAATTTTGTTGAATTGAATAGAATATTATTCAATTTTTCATAAAGAAGAAAATCTTGTCTTTTTTAAAAAAAGATTTTATTTATTTATTTGACAGAGAGATCACAAGTAGGTAGAGAGGCAGGCAGAGAAAGAGGAGGAAGCAGGCTCCCCACTGAGCAGAGAGCCTGATGTGGCGGGGCTTGATCCCTGGACCCTGGGATCATGACCTGAGCTGAAGGCAGAGGCTTTAACCCACTGAACCACCCAGGCGCCCCAATCTTGTCTTTTTTTGATAACATGGACAAACATGGAGGGTATTACACTAAGTGAAATAAGCCAGACACAGAAAAAATAATATTGCATGGTATCACTTATTCTGACCACTCCCCCACTGAAAAAAAAGCAGCTGAACTTGTCGAGACAGAGGATAATAGTGATTGTCAGGGGCTGGGGGTGGGGGGGAGGGGAAAAGGAGATAATAAGATAAGGGGGGTAATAAGGAGAGGTTGATAAAAGTAATTAAACTTTCAGTTATAAGATGAATAAGGTTTGAGGATCTAATGTATAACATGATGACTATAGTTGACAATACTATATTATGTAATTAAAATTTGCTAGGAAAGTAGTATTTAAGTGTTCTCACCAAACAAAAGAACAAAGGTACAAACAAAAAGTATGTGAGGTGATGAATGCATTAATTTCATTTCATGGAAGGAATCATTTCACAATGTATACATATATCAAATCATCACATTGTACACTTTAAATGTATTACAATTGTTTCAACTCTATTTCAATAAAGATGAAAAAAATTTTAAAAGCTTTACTTTCTCCCTTGAGCTAACACAATCCTATGGAAAATCTCAGGAGAAATTTTGAGTTGTCTGTTTTTCAGTGTTTCAATGATTATTAGCTGGGTCAATATACAAAGCATTTCTCCTCCGAAGAGTTATCTTATTTACTGAATTCATGAATAACCTGACTGAGGGAAGTGATATGTAGATTAACTGGACAATAGTTATACCATATGACAGGAGCACATGTAAACTTCTCCTTAAAAGCTTACCTTCTCTCTTAAAATTGTAAGAGCAACATTGTGCTTTCTGATTACATGGGATTAAAAAAAAAGTGCATGCATATAATCCTAGTCCTTTAACCCTACTCTTGTGTACTTTTTAATTTTTTACCTCATTTCCTAGAAGGGCATTTACACAGGCTTCTGAGGCATCACAGATGGCTGTGAGATCATGTCCTCCTTCTAGAGCCAACACCACGTGTCCATCAGCCAATGTCATCAACTGCTTCGTCAAATGACCAAAGCCTATCATAACACAAACAGAATATTTCAAGTATTAAAAGAGAATATTACTAGAATCTAATATTGATTGAGCTTTTATTGTGTGTCCTTTCTCAGCATCTTCCATGGGCGAATTCATTTAATACTTACAATAACTTAATAAATCAGATTCCATTATTGTCCATTTTACAATTGTGGGAACCAAAACCTGAGATCCCACAGCTAAGAAATATAACAACCAAAATTTATACCAAACGATATGGCTCCTCACCAATGCACAGTAGTGCCTTTCACAGCACATTCTATATGTACCTGGATGAAAAATTTGATGGCATTTGGCAAGTGTTAATAAGGTAAATAATTTCCTATGGTTGATTTTTGTTTCTTGTCTCCATCATGTCTTACCTTATTATAAAAGGAAGCTGTTTTTTTTTTTTTTTACCTATCACCTCAAATTAATTAACTATCACATTAGTTTTTTTTTAAATGAAGCTTTTTTTTTTTTTTAAAGACTTTATTTATTTATTTGACAGACAGATCACAAGTAGGCAGAGAGGCAGGCAGAGAGAGAGAGGAGAAAGCAGGCTCCCCACGTAGCAGAGAGCCCCGATGCAGGACTCCATCCCAGGACAGTGGGATCATGACCTGAGCTAAAGGTAGAGGCTTTAACCCACTGAGCCACCCAGGCACCCTTATCATATTAGATTTTTATAGATATAATTTTGATTATAAAATAGTTGATAAATGGGGGCGCCCGGGTGGCTCAGTGGGTTAAAGCCTCTGCCTTCAACTCAGGTCATGATCCCAGGGTCCTGGGATTGAGCCACTCACTGGGCTCTCCACCCAGTGGGGAGCCTGCTTCCTCCTCTCTCTCTGCCTGCCTCTCTGCCTACTTGTGATCTCTGTCTGTCAAATAAATAAATAAAATCTTTAAAAAAAATAGTTGATAAATGTAAAAAATAAATAACACCTATATATATTATAAAGTATAATGATATGAGAAATACCTGTTCACTTACCTTTCAATTTAAGGAAAATAATGTCAGCAATACTCTTTTTAAATAGTTTATTTATTTATTTGACAGAGAGATCACAAGTAGGCAGAGAAGCAGGCAGAGAGAGAGGGAAGCAGGCTCCCCACTGAGTAGAGAGCCTGATGTGGGGCTCCATTCCAGGACGCTGAGATCAAAACCTGAGCCGAAGGCAGAGGCCTGACCCACTGAGCCACCCAGGTGCCCCTGTCAGCAATACTCTTGAAGCCCCTTGTGTATTTCTATTAATATCCCTCCTCCTCCCTATGGGAAATTAGGATCTTGACTTTGTGTTGATAATTCCTTTGCCTTTTTTTTTGAACTTCATAAAATTGGTTTTATATTTTCACAACTTGCTCTTTTTATTCAGTATCTTGTTAGCTCACCTCTGTTGATGAATGTAGCTATAGTTCTGTGCTGTCTAGTAGGCCATGAGTATAAAAGAATTTATTTACCCAATCTCCTGATGACAGATACTTGCATTTTTATTACAAAACTCCAAAGCTTTGTTATTAAAAATAATGCCTCCAGAACATTTTTATAGCACTTCTGTGGTTCACATGTGCAACAGTAGACTAAAACCATTGTGGCTTAAAATCTGCTAAATAATACTAGATTATTTCTAAAAGGCTATAAACTCTACTCTGAGAAGCAGTGTATGTAAGAATTCCAATTTAGTCACATCCTTGCCAATGTTTGGTACAATTTGCCAAGCAAGTGAGTGAATAATGGCATCTTACTGTGGTGTCATTCAGTTCTAGGAGGGACCTTACTATTTCTACATTGAATTAAAGCTTTTATTATAAATAGATGTTAAATTTGTTTACACCAAGGTGAGATTTTTTTTCTATAATTTCATAGTTGTTGTGAGTCACATTAATTAGTATTTCTAATTTTAAGCCATCATGAAATTTATGGAGTATAATAAGCTTTATTGTGATGTAATTATCTATTTTGTACATAGCTGAAATTGTTTTACTACTGCTTTGTTTAGGATTTTTTTCACCTATGTTCATGAATGGGCTTAATCTATAATTTTCCAGTCCTGTATTGGCCATGTTGAATTTGATGTGGTCAGGATCACCTTTTTTTATTATATGATTTTAGAAAGTTGGGTAGAAATCTCCTGGAAAACCATTTGAGTTTTGTGGGTTTTGAGGAAGACTTTTAACTATTGATAGAATTTCTTTAGCAACTATAGGGCTACTCATGCTTTCTATATTTTCATAAGTTATATTTTTTTCTAGAAATTTATTTGTGTTCAAATTTATTGAACTAAAGTTATTTATTTATTATCTTATTTTGAAATTTCAATTAGATGTATGTGGTCATGGTCATTATATTCTCAATGTCTCTTAAGCTTTATTTCATATTTTTTGTCTCCTCCTGTCCTGAATTATAAGTATTTTTATTTCATATCTACCTTCCAGTCTTTCTTTCTCCACATGTGTCTAATCTACTGTTTAACATTTCTATTGGTATCTTCATTTCAGTGATTATACTGTTGAATTCCAGGTGCTCTATTTGGTTAGATTTCATAACTTCTTAGTTGTTTTATAGTTTCTTACTCTTTGCTCATGGTTTTATTTCTTCCTTTTATTTCTTTACCCATAATTATTTTATATTCTGTATCTGTTATTTTAAGTCTTTATGGCTTAGTATCACTATTTGTTGTTTCTGCTGATTCATCCTCATGATGTCTTAATTCTCCTCTGTTATCTATCTATCTAGCTACCTATCTCATACATATGGAACTTCCAATGTGAGAAGTTTTGAAGACTGAACTGAACTTGATATCTATTTTTGAAACCTGGAATGGGTGTGATTTTGTTTGCCTCTACTGGATGGCTGGGATACTATCACTAGGAGAAATTTAAATTCTTAGATTGCAGAGACTTTGCTTTTTTAATGCACAGTTATTGTAAATGTGGACCCCTAAAAACCTGATTACAAATTATCATGTAAAAAATGAGATTTTTTTCCCCTTTTGTTTTCATTGCTTTTTCAATTCCCTCTATTTATAGCTCTAGCTAAGATATATTTGTTGTTTTTATTCAGCAGTATTTCCTCTTCCATTAACCCTTTTTCTTAGAGTTGGCCCTTTCTTATTCCTTTCTTTATGCTGTTTCTCCAACAAAACTTCTCCCTTCAGAGGCCCAAGGATTTGACTCCCTTTTCCAGCAGTAGTCTATTAATAATGTTCAGGCTCTAGCCAGTAGAAGACTTTGTGATAGCCCAGGGCAGCCAACAGCCACAGTATTTGCTTACATTCCTTCATCTTTTTGGAAGTCATTCATAAATTTAAAAAGTAGTTTTGCTGTTTTCATGTAGAAGTGTTTCAGGATGTATAGGCTGCCAAATATAAATATCTCTCATTCAACATTTGAAAAATTTTAAAATTGCATCCAATGTGCCCAATTTCAAGGACAAGTGCAAAAAAAAAAAAGATAAATGAAAATAAATAAAACTATGTGTTCAATATGGCATTTCATTTTTTGTTTTGTTTTGTATTGTGATTTACTTACAAAATTTCACCAAATAATAGTAAGTACCTTTAAAAAAAATTGGCATTAGTCCTATAAAGGACATTAAGGTAATTCTTAAGCCTACAAAAATTGCCTTAGTACCAATGTTCCTAGGCATATTATTTTAACTAAAATCTGACTCTAAAGCCCACATATAGTTTCTGATTCTACACATTCAGTTTGAAGTATAATCTAATTAGATTGACAGGAGGACCCAAGCAGTCCTATCAATGTCTACAAGAGGTGTATGTTAGGCTACTGATTACATCCCTCTAGCTGTACCACCATTTATTTATAATGGGACAACCGAGTTGCCCTATTATGCTAAAACATGATTCCTCTGGAAAAAACAAGGCATTATCTGATTAGCTAGACTGGTCAATAGGGTGAGTAAAAAGTGGCTGTCAGTAGTAAAAAACAGTTTCATTTCCTTGAACTTTTTCCTTTTCTGGACTTATTTTTTTCTGATTTTGAAGGCTTTGAAGATTTTGTTTTTTTCTTGCTCATTGCATCAGTTTCCATAGAGTCTTCATCAGGTTGAGTGTCATCTTTATTTAACTCTTCATTGTTTTCAGAATCCAGTCTCTGGTTTGTCAGAAATTGGGATACAGATATGTGGAATTGAATGCAAATGACACTCTGGAGTAAGAATAGTTTCAAGGACATTGTTGTTGAATCAGTGAATAATACCAATATCACCAGCTTTTATTCAACCTCTCAACATGGGTCAAGTGGAGCAGCCCATTCAGTAAATACAAAACATATTCTCACCAAGGAAGAAGGAGATGGCATGTCAGGAAATGAGGACAGGGAAGAATTCAGGAATTAATTGGTCTGATAAAGCATACAAAAATTCCCATTATTTGTATGTGCAATGATAGAAATCATCCCAAGATTCAGTCTTTGGTTCATTATTGCTTTGATCTTCGCTTTCAAAGACCCTGAATTGAACAGATTAAGGGTGCTATAATGTCTACTGAATTTAAAGAGGGTTTGAAGATCCTCCTTCCAGCTATGAATGAAATAATTTTGGGAGCCAATCAAGGTATCAGACAGGTTTTACACAATCTGAGGATGTGGTGTGCATGAAGTATGGCACTGAGCTATGACCAGGTCAGGGATGATTCTCACAGAGCCAAAAAGGATATCAGACTGGGCTCATTTGATGATGCCTGGAAAGTGTTTGTAGCTGGAGAGGAGACTGCTCAATTGTCACTTGTGGACAAGTCAGATCTCTTTTTTCAAGATCATTCAATAGCACCCCTCTTTGTCCAGGAGAACTACATTATGTGTGAAGCTTCCAGCTTCAGGGGGTAACATGAAAAAGCACCTGATACTTTTAAGCAGAGCAGCAAATAGCATATGTGATGATGACCTAGTGGACCATCACATGCAGACTAAGCAAAACTGGAGTCTTCTGCCCACACAGGCTATTTATGCCAGTGTTCTTCCTGGAGAGTTAATGAGG